CTTTCCTGTTATCTACATGTTCTGTTGTACATAGGGTTTTCAGAGGCCTATTTCAGAAGTGGATGGCCAATCCTTCTTCCTAGTCTGTCTTAATGTGAATGTTCAGATTTAGAGAAGTATCAGACAGACCAGCAAGTTAAAGATATGTCCCTTATTGTGGAGTTAACCATTAGTGTCATTGTTGTCCCTGCCTTTGGCACACGTGTCTTTACCCACTTATTACCCTGCTCCACCATCCACCAGGATACCCATCCACTTCTACCCACTCCCTTCACATCTACCTCCCATTGACCAGCCCTTGATCTAATAGCTTATATATGAAGCTTCCTTGGCTTTTGTGTTTCCAAACACATCAGCTGCTCATAGTTCCTTATGTTGGGACCAATGTCCCTGAGGTTTAGTCGTAATGTTTCCCAAGCAAAGGCGATGCGTCCTGTAGAACTGGTGTATAGGTAGGTTTTTCTTGGCCCTCAGGCCAGAACGAATGCCACATGGTTTTGGCATCTTCAGTGTTACCTGAGAAGATGGGCGGGGAGTGTGATGGACCCTTTAGCTGCCCAGCTTTCTGTCGACAAGTCAGGCTCCTTGAATCTAAAAAAAATTGATAATTATAAAAAATGTCATGAAACTCATAAAAGATCAAAAACCTGGGCTTTGTTGTTGTTGAATGCCTTCGAGTTGAAACTGACCATCCTCCTGCATCGTAGGCGTTAGTGAGCTAAAATGGAGTGCTGTTGCCCATTTTGAATCTTAAATCCTGTTCTACTATGCCTAGAATGACCAATTAAAGAGGAATGATGTGGAATTCATCATAGGAAAAATATGCATGCAAGTTATAGGATGAATTGCATATGCACACATGGAAGCTCTATTACTACAACTGTTATTCAAATATACTTACCAACTACTAAAGGTAAAGATAAAGAAATTGATGATTTTTACCTAAGTCTGACCTCAACAGAATGTACAAAATTATTTAATAATAATAACTAAATTTTAAAAAGTATTAACAAAATATATTAAATACATTAACAAAATAAAAGGACAATGACAAACTATATTAATAATAATAATTGATGACTGAAAGGAAGATGTTGGAAACAAAGAAGAAGGATTGTGGGTTGCAAAATATGCCCTTGGTGTCAGAAATGAAGACTGGTATTGTATAATACGGTTTTACATGATTATTTTTTTTCTTGCAAAACTTTAACATGTTGCTGCAAATGATGGCAAATGCATTTCTAAGCACAGTCGTCAATTTTAAAAGTGTGCAGCAACATGTGTTAAAAAAAAGGCAATGCTGCACATGGATTTCAATTTCAGCAATCAGATTTACTGTATATGTGGAAAGAGACTCTGGGAAAGTTCAGTGTTATCAATCAGAATAAAACCAAATGCCTACAGTGGGACAGTTGTTTGGATATGCAAGTCCAAATTGAAACTGAAGAAAATTAAAATAAAAACAAGCCCATGAGAGTCAAAATACAACCTTGAGTTTATCCTCCCTGAGTTTAGAAACCATTTGAAGAACAGATTTGATGCATTTTACATTAATAACTGAAAACCAGATATGTGAGATGACATTAAGGGCAATATATGAAGGATGTAAAAGTTGATTAAAAACACAAGAATGAAAGAAAGTAGCAAAATGGAAATCAGAAAAGATTGCAACTTTTATTAAATGTAAAGAAGCTAAAGTGAAAGGAAGAAATGATGATGTGAAAGAGCTGAGCAGGAAATATCAAAGGGCAGCTCAAGAAGACTTTACTTTGTCTTTTACTTTATTTTTATTATATAAAAATGTGAAAAGACCTACAGTTAGAAAACCAAAAGGGAAGAACATGCTTAGCATTTCAAACTGAAAAAAACAATGAAAAAAATTCTAGCCTAAAATTGCAATGCTGAAGGGATCTAAGGGCAAAATATTGGATTATGCAGGAAACATCAAAATAACATCAAAATTAATACATAGGGCCACTCTACTGAAAATAATAGGTTGACTCTGAACCATTTCAAGAAATAGCAAAAAATCAAGAACCAATAAAGCTGCACTGAAGGCATTAGAAAAATATTAGACCTCAGGAATTGATAAGATGTCACTTGAAGTATTTTCACAAATGGTCACAACCCTGGATGTGCTCGCTAGACTATACCAAGAAATAAGAAAGACAGCAATCAGATCAACCAACTGAAAAGGTCAAATTTGTGCCCATTTAAAAAGAAAAAAATAGTCCAGTAGAATTTGGAGATTATCAAAGAAGATCATTAATATCATACTTAAATAAAATCTTGAAGACTACTGCATAGACAAAAACTACCAGAAATTCAAGACTGAAAAAGCCTTGGAATAAAGTATGTCAATGCTCATGTCATGTGGATATTGGCTAAAAGCAAACAATATCAGAAAGGTGTATAACTGACATTAATAATTAGATAACACTGAAAAGAGTGAAAATGCAAGAACACTTTAACTGTGCTCAGGACCAAGAAACAGTTGTTGAAAGTAAAGAGGACTTGAAACATTTAAATGGAGAAGATCAAGGACTGCAGCCTTCTGTATGGATTACACATTAACTTCAAGAGAACAAAAACCCTTACAACTGGCCCAATAGGCAATATCATAATAAATTGAGAAAATATTGAAGTTGCAAGGGTTAAATTAAACATGGGTCCACAATCAACCTCTGCTGAAGTAGCAATTGAGAAAGGAAGACAACAGAATTGATGCCTTTGAGGTGTTGTATTGATGAAGGGAACTGAATATGTCAGGGACTGCCAGAATAACAAACAAATCTGTCTTAGAAAAAGTTCAGCCAGGAAGCTCCTGAGAGATGAGTGTGGTAAGACTTCATCTCAAATACTTTGTGCACAGTGGAAACTGTTAACATTGGATATTTATGGATATGGTAATATTGACTATATTAGATGGGATATAGTAAAAGCTTTTTCCCTTCATATGTGTCTATAAAAATTCCTCTTAGAACAAACCTTATGTTGTATTCTTAGCTACCTCAATTGACAGCATCTCATTACAATGGAAAATATTGTTCTCAGTCAAATATAAATATAAAAACCCATGTATATTTTACATTAAAACTATAGAGGTAAGGATGGTGAAACTTCATCTCACATACTTCAGGCGTGTTGTCAGGAGGGACCATTCCTTGGAAAAAGACATGCTGGGATAAGTCAAGGGTCAGTAAAAGCGAGGAAGACCCTTAACTAGATGGACTGACACATGACTATAACAGTGGGCTGGAGTATGGTACAGATTATGAGGATGGCATAGGAAAGGGCAACGTTCTGATCTGTTTGTTATTCATAGGTGGTTGTGAGTCATAGTAGACTCGATGCCACCTAACATATTGATTGCTAAAGAATGCACTGAGTTATGAGTGTTAAAAATGGGAATTTTTTTTAAATCATAGAAAACAAAAAAATTTAAATCTTCTGTGAATTTCTTCCCCCCCCCCCCAGTCTGAGGATTACTATGACATGAGGCGGCTATATACAATTTTGGGGTCCTCTCTATTTTACAAGGTAAGTTGAAGTTTAAAATTTTTATAACTGTAAAAAGTAGGCACCATGGGAACAGCCAGGTCTGGCCTCTCCTAACTTCACAGAGAGGAACAGTCCCTATAAGCAACATCCACAATACAAAACCAAAGTCCATAAGGTCAGACATGGTCTCCATGCTCCCGCACCTACTTCTACTAATCTCAACACTAATCTTACTACTTGGATGACATAGTGGTAAAAAGTTGTGCTGCAATCCCAAAAGCAGTTGGTTTGAATCCACAAGCTGCTCCATACGAGAAAGATGGGCAGTCTCCTCCCATGTGATTTACTATCTCTGAAAACCTGCTGGAGGGTCAGCTAAAGGTCTGTTCTGACGTGTCACAAAACAACAGCAACAGTCTTGCTACTAGATCCATAATCTGTTGCTAGATCTCACTGAATTATACCCAGGGTTATAGAGTTTAGTAGGGAACAGTTTACAATTCAAGTTGGCAGCAGCATACAATTCCTCAGTTAGAACAGCTTCTCAAACATGCTTGCAAGTCCACTGACTTTCAGCCTTGAAGTTTAGGTCAGTGTTACAGAGCTTTCTTAGTTCTACCAATTGTGGTACCCACCCCCAAACCCTCAAACAAATTTTTAAAAAGACCTCTAGCTTGGCTTTGCCTCTGTGAGGCAATGTAGTTAGCTCTGTTTCATGTTAGTTTCTAGTTCTCTGCTGAGGCTGTTGCTATTCTCATGTAAACACGGATACAGAAATCTCCAGCCCCAAAAGACTTGCTATGCCCTCTACTACTTCTCCATTGCTGGTAGTGAGAGACTCACCTTTGTTGTTAAACTTGCAAAATTTGAACCTGATGGGGTGAGAAAAACTGGCCAATTCATAATGATTATTTTACACACACCCTATTTCAAGTTCTCACCCAGATTGGTAGGAAAGCCATTTTGAATAATATGATACCACAATGAATATCCAAATCTCTATAAAGACATTTTTGGAAACTTTTCCAAATAAGAAAAAAAAATTCTTTTTTCTTTAATGTAGGCACCATATGAATAAGACCTTAAAATAAGATTTACATATAGATAAATGTTGCATATTGTTTTTCTGGCAATATCCAGCCACAGACACATCCATAGCCCCATAAGATTTTCTTGTCTTGTTTTGTCTTTTGTTTTTAACAGGAAAGCAACTCTATTTGTTTATTATTTCCTTCTAATAGAATTTGCTTCACCTACTTTAGCTTATTACCAGGAAGAGCATCTTTGTAGACGGGCATCATGCTTGAAAAAGCGTGGAAGACCTTCAGTGAGATAGATTGGCACAGTGACTGCAACAGTGACCTTAAGCTCTCAGCATAGATTGTGAGGAAGACACAAGATCTGGCGGGATTTTGTCCTGTTGCACACTGGGTTGGTGTCAATCAGAGCCATCCCCATGCTAGTAATAAAAAAGTAACAGCAACAACAAATAGTTTTAATGAATCTAAACTTACAGTGCTGGCATATCTTTCACAGCTGGGATATAGGCAAGGAACCAAAACTTAAACTCATTACTCATAGTAACTCTCCATCAGGACTCCGAAACTATAAATCTTTATGAGAGGAGATTGCTTATTCTTCAGGAGCAGCTGGTGGATTTGAACCGCTGACTTTTTTATTGATAGTACAACATTAATACAGTATGCCTCCAAGGCAGAGAATATGATTCTAAGTGCAAGCTCTGGAGCTTTGTTCTGCTGGCAGGTACACAGTGGAAGCGGCTGAGGAACCAGGTGGCTTGGTTGCCTAGACTGAGAGAGTGTGCCCGCATGCACTCCACCCCTCCCTGCTTACTCCCTCTTGTTGCCCTCCTGACCAGTACTTTCACCTTCTGCTGCCGCACTGAACCCATTCCTCATTCTCCACCAGCAGTTTTAAGAGTTGAAACAGTGGTACCAACAGCAACAGTGGGTGACAAGAACAAGCAGAAGTAGGCTCCCATTCATTTATTGGGCCCTTTAAGTTATCAGTGTCTTTGCCATGTCTTCATTTATTACATTGAAGAAGTAGCTGTATAACTGTAAGAAATATATTACAGAATTATTGTTTTATGTTGCTCATTGACTTTTGCTCTTTATGGTTCAATCCAAGGGCTACTTGATATGCAGTCATTTGCCTAAAGATGATCTTATTGACATTGCTATCTACTGTCGCCACCATTGTCTACTGCCTTTAGCAACAAGACAAAGAATTGGTCAGTTGGTGATATGGAGAGAAGTGTTTCCTCAACATCACCTTCAGCCATCTGAAGACTCAAACTCTGAAGTCTTTCAGGAACCTGAAGGGAGATACTTTTTGCTTATTGTTGGTTTGGTAAGTTTACCTTGACTTTATCGTTTTTTTATGATTATTACTTGTCTAAATAATAGACAAATAAACATAATATTTTACAGTTATGAGCATTTCTGTTTGAAGGATAGAAAATGAGAATTAGCAGCACAGGGCATGAGCGTCTCTCTAGAAGGGCCAGAAGGAGTAAGAATAGCATAGCCCCTCACTGCTCAGAGCATAAAGCAGATCAAGAGCCTGTAGCCCAACCCCATGGTGCCTCTAGAACCATACCAATAGCAAGAAGTTTGTTTATTTGTTGTTGACTTACAGGCTCACAATTGTGGTACTGGAATGGGGTTTATTAGGGAAGTAAGTTGGAGCGTAGGGGAGGCAAAGAATATCACCCAGAACAAGCTGAGATTTTAACCAAAGTCCCAAGGCACAATTCCTCAGTTAGTCCAAGGCACAATTCCTCAGTTAGTCCAGGCTCTGGTTTCAGTTCTGCAGTCAAATCCAAATCATCCAGCAAGGCTTGACTCAGAGTAGTTAGAAGTCAATTTATCATTGCTAACATCTGGTAAAAACCTTTAACTGTGGCCAGCACAAATACAAGAAGCTTCAGGTCACATTTTACCACAGTTTCTCCATAGAAATGCCACAGTCTCTCCATCACCATCACCAGGTTCTTGCTATAGTCTCCCTCAAGTCTTGCTGCCTCAAGTGTAGCTGCCACAAGTCTTGCTGACCTAAGTCTTGCTGCTTCAGTCTGCGAAGCACTCATTCTGTTATCCTAGTCCCACAGCTGCTGCTGATTTGCAAGACCATGCATCTGCAATTAAGGTAGCTAGACACCATAGGGGGCTAACTGCAATGGCTATAAAAGCCAACTTTTAGGGGAACACCACAATGTCAAATATCTATATTGAAGAAAATATAATATGCTCTTTATCCCTTTGAACCCATTTAATATTTACACAGAAATAGCAGTGTAATTCACAAAACTATTTAGCAAGTTCTTCATATATTTTGCTCCTACTTCTTTTGTTACTGTTAACTATCAAGTCAGCTCCAACTCATAGTGACCTATGTACAGCAGAACAAAATAGTGTAGCCATTGTGTCCATCTATTCTCATTTCTGTAGTGGTTTTACATCTATCAGTTTGCTTTGAGAAATAGTAGGGAGACAGAAAAAGGATGTAGAATCAGAAATGGAATACATATGTAATTGTAAGTGAAAGAATTTACAGTAGTGAGACTGAAAGAAAATAGGGAATTGTATGTGCCAAAAGGAGTTGCTTAGCAGGTATAAAATAATGTGAGATTTGCTTTTAAGAATGATTAGGAATAATTAAGAATAACCAAGAGAAGGGAAGAAGGAATATTTCATAGTCAATATCTTTATTATAAATTTATACATACATATTGTGTGTAAATATTTTCATGGTTGATAAGTCTATATTATTATTTTAATCTTACAGAGATATTATATGTTATGTGTAATATTAGAAGCTGGAGGCTGTGCATCTAAAGCTATTGGAAATCCTGGTCCAGATTGTATATATGTGGATCAGGTCAAAACAACTCTTCAACAACTGGAAAAATTTGATTCACGCATAGATGAACGACTAGCATCTGCTCCAAGTCCTTTTTTGTCTTGTGCTGATTGGTTCCTTTCTGGATCACGTGACAAACCAGATAATATGACAGCCTCACCTATCCTCAGCAGGCTACAAGGGACTTCCAAAGTAGCAACCTCTCCAACATGTAGAAGAACCCTTTTGGGGGAATATTCCTTAAAGATGCGGAAACCTAGTCCTTCTAGAGGCAGTGGAGGATCTGACAATGGTTTTGAAGGTGGAGAAGGTGTTGGCCTTAGCTCCCTCCCTACACCACATGCAATATGGAAGCAAAAAGAATCTCAGAGTTCTGATGGTTTGGAGGTAAGCAGGGCCTTGCTTATCAGTGTGTACATTCTGGGCACCAAGCACCTTGTCTCTAGTCCTTATTTTGTAACTGCAAATGGATTTTTTTTTATTCTTCATTTGAGCTGGTGGTGTTTTTATTACTGCTGGCAAATCAATGTTTAGAACCTAAAAGAGCCTTTAGGAATAATTATTAAGTAATAACAGGAGTCCTATGGCATCCAGAAGTATCTATTTAATTCTTCATCCTCACATTCAATCAACATCCCTTTTTTCTTTATGTATAGAGATAACAGAGAATATGATAGGTTTGGGATATTCAGTGGGCAGATTTGACTAAATAACCATTAAAATATACCACAAAAAATAAAAATAATTCAAAACTAAAAGTATTAAGTATGAGTGTGTGTGTATACTATGTCTGACCAATCTTTGTACCCGGGAATTAAAAAATGAATATAAAACCGTATTAATTTTTCCAAATGTTTTCTTATTGTTATTAGAAATACTGTAACATTGCCAGTGATTACTGAAAATAATTCACCCTGGTGATATCCTTCCTGGCATTTTGTAAACTTGTCCTTTGGATAGATTAGAGATGATGTCAGAGGTAGCTTGAAAATGAGAGAGTCTGAGAAGGAACACAAATAGGAGCTCCTGAGTGGCAAAAAATAGTAATAGATTCAGTGTCCTACTTCCAAACAATGAAGCACTCTTGAAACCCTAACTGAAATATATTTAGGAAGTACTGTCATCTCTAATGTACTCTTTATCCTAGTTGAGGAAATTGGTAGAGTATATTAATATTCCCAAGAGGATTTGGAAAGATTTATGAGTGACAACACTATGGACAGCTCCTAAGGGAAAATCAAGTAACCTTTAATATTCAGCTGCTCTAGAAATGTTTCTTTTAAACCTGACAGGTACCTAGGGACATGCTACCCAGAAAGCATTGAAAGTTAAATAGAACACAATTTCTGTCTTTATGGATCTGAAGTGTCTATAGAGGGAAACAAGCTACATACCTGTGGAATGTAACAAACCTAGCAACGGCTTGATGATAGCTCTGGTAGGTTTTGAGGGAGAATCGTCATGCCCGTCCTTGACATGGTCCTGAATCACTGCCAAAAGGTAGAAGTTAGCATGTAGAGTATTTAAAGAAAACATTGAGAAATAGCAAATTGTTCTCTTAAATCGACTTTTAATTTTTACCTTATCCCTGCTGTTTGAATCCAAAAATAGATAAATGGGCATATACTAGAAAATAGATAAATGGGCATATACTAATCTTCTTAACCATGGTTTTTCAGGTCACTAGGAAGAAGTCTACTCTTTCAAATCTTTTTCATTTGGGGAACTCAAAAAAGGAACTTTCAGAAAAAGAATTGGAAATATATAACTCAATGAAGTAAGAAATATCCTTATAATATTATTTGTTAATTTGAATTCTTTGTCTTTGCCTTTAAGGAAGTTTTACAGTGGAAAAGTACAGTTCTAAAACAGAGATTGTTTTCAATATCTATAATTATGATACATCTTACATACTAAAGTAATACTCATTTCTCAAAAGCTTCTCATTGCACCTTTAGAAACATGAACATACAAATAACAAAAAGTAATATTTCAAAAATGTGAACCCCCTTTTATCTTTTCTTCCTGAGGAAACTACCTTTATACATGTCTACTTTAATTTTTAAGTTAGAACTTTTTATTGTTGGGCTTGTCTCAGAATCCCTTTGTCAAGCTGCCCATTCCAGTGCTCACAGCTGACTGTCCAGTGAGTTTTCAGAGGTCATATCACAGTCATATCACTGAGAATCATGGGCTAGCTAAGTTGTCACATTTGTTAGCCATCATAGCTAGCATTACTCTCATCAAAGACCACATCATTTGTTTTCAGATGAATGTTGTTAATATGCAAAATAGTTGCCTAGCTTAGTAGATTTGTCACTATTGTTATAAATTTAATGTCAAATGAGATAGTTAATAAGTGAGGAGAAGCTGTAGCTAAAAATCTTTTTTAAACAAAGTAAAAGTGAACAAAGATATTTGAGTGAAACCTCTTCAGTCCCCTGAACTACCTTTATTGTACCCTAATCTTCCATTTAGCAAAACTACTGTAATAATTTTATTACCTCCATATCTCGATTTTTATGTGCTATATGAAAATTGTTGTTGTTACGTGCCGTCGAGTTGCTTGCGACTCATAGTGACCCTATGTACAACAGTCCTAAACTCTGTTCTGTCCTGTACCAGTCTCATTGTCTCCAACACACTCATCCCGATTAGCCCAGTCACTGTATCAATCCATCTCCTAGAGGGCCTTCCCCTCCTGTGCCTGCCCTCCACCCTCCCAAGCATGATGTCCTTCTCCAAGGACTGGTCTGTCCTTACAATATGACCAGAGTATGTCAGATGAAGCCTCAGAATCCTCGCCGCCAAGGAGCAGCCCGGTTTAACCCTCTCAAGGATGAATCTGTTTGTTTTCTTAACAGTCCATGGTACCTCAATACTCTTCTCCAGCACCAAAGCTCAAAGACATCAATTCTCCTTCTATCCTCCTTAGTCATTGTCCAGCTGTCTGACACATTAACAAGTGATTGCAAAGACCATGGCCTGTATCAGATACACCTTAGTCTCTAGAGACACACCATTGCTCTTCGGTACTTTAGAAAGGTCCCTAATAGCAGACTTTCCCATTGCAATACGTCTTTTAATTTCCTGGCTGCTGGTGCCAAAAGTGTTGATTTTGGACCCAAGCAGAATACAGCTGTGAACAATCTCAATCTCTTCACCATCCCTCCTGATGCTGCCAATTGGTCCAGTGGTGAGAATCTTTGTCTTCTTGACATTGAGCCTCAATCCATATTGAAGGCTGCAGT